AGGATTTGCAGAGCGAGAAGTCAGAATTCATTAGAGCTCACCAGAGAGGAGGCCTGTTGTGTGTCCTGCTGTGTTACTGTACTGTTTGTGGTGGAAGGGGGTTTCCATTCAGAGAGCATCAATGTGGCTCACTGTCTTCATTCCAGTTGTTTCCCTAAATAATTCCCACAGCAGCTTAAACGTGTGAGCAGCGCTCTTGGTAAACTTTGTTTGACCCTCTCTCTGCTCAATCAGTCTTCATCAACAGCTTTCTGCAACACTTTAACCCTATTTATGTGAATGTAAGCTCTATGACATGTTTGACTCTTCTTGGTATTTGGCTACGCTTTTGCTTTATTCGAGTGTTAAGTCACATGCAGCTCTGTATTTATTTATTTTTGAATTAATGAACGTAAAGTTTATACTATCAAAAGGGAGGAAAAGGAGATTAAAAGGAGCATCTGCTCTGCTCTCAAGCTGCAGATGAATATATGAGCTAAATTCAGTGTCATTAACATTTGGTGCTAAGGTCAATGCTGTTTATCACCAGTACTCTTCTCTGGAGTCGAGTTAAGGAGAATGAAAAATACTTTGAAAACCGACTAGTTTATTTTTACCCTTGGTTCCCCTTTTTGTGGCAACTTATCTAATTTTATATAAATAACTGCATGACTTCATCTATTTTTAAGGGTTCTCATGTTTGCGGTGTGCTCTGCTTCAGTCTGTTTTCCAATTGCAACATTTAATCTGCAAGGAAATTGTGAAATTACGTGGGGAATTTGAAGAATGTCACGAAATAAAACTTTACTAAAACGGGAACTGAATGACGCGCTTAGAAACATGACTAATGTAAACAGCAGCTAAGAAATAAAAATAATGCGTTTATGAAATGTATGAATAACAAGAGGAAAAATTCAGTAAATTAACTTCATCACCAAATGCCTAAATTACTAATAAGTATTGCATGTTATTCAATTTAAAAATAAATTGACCATGGTACAAGGCAGTAGATGATCCAGGATTGGAAACACCAGGAAGGTTGATGGTGCAATATTAAAATAGAAATAAAATTCAAGAAGCAGCTCATAAACAAAGTTTGACTTCAACAACACAAGAAACAAAGAACAAGATGGAAGATAAAATAAAAGACGAAATCGATCACAAACTTGAAAACTGGTTGCAGGTTTGGATATTGTTTAAGATATTTTATTTATTTATCTATTATTTATTTAGTTATGGACAATTATAAATACAGTGGACCTCCAGTTATATTGTTTAATGTTAAAGCAGTTTTGCTGATTTTCAACACAAGACCACAGGAAGCTTTTGATAGATCAGAAAACGAACAGGAAGAAAGTAAAAGAAGTTAAAATCTCAAACAGCAATGTTGGACCAGTGTTCAAAGACTCTTAAACACCCGTATAAATAATATTTTAACAACTAGTCCTTCTGTTTCCTTTGAGCTGTTTTTGACTTTTGCATTTTCCATTTTTCCCAATTTACCAGAAATCCACTCAAGAAAATTCTTTAATGTTATAAAACTTTGATTTACAGCTTTCAGAGGTTAATATGCCATCATGAAGACATCAGAATAATGTTTAAGGAATCGGCAAATTTCACAAATCCTTACAAACTAAGAAAACTTTTGTGCCAAAAAGTTTCTTTGGAAACCAAAAACTGGTGATTTAATGCGTCTTTCATCACCTTCACTGTTTTTCTACTCAATTAGAAAATTGCAGTCGACTGCTTAAGTATCGCTGGCTTTTTGTAAAATGATCACAAATGTAATAATTTCTTTTATGCTCATGGATAAAACCATTTTAAAAATGTTTTAAAATTGGACCAGTGCTTTAACTTTGTAGACTTTAATGGAGTTTATTTTCTACAGATGTTTGGATTGGTGGTAAAACAACACCATTAACTTCACTTAAAACAAAATGTAGGAATTATTTTAAACTTAAATGTTATTTATGGTTTTCTTCTATGTACAGTTGCAATTTTGGCAGCTGAACCAGTTAAAATGGACAAAATCCATGTTGCCTAATTTTTGTTTCAAACCTCAATTAACAAATTGATTGAAGTTCTACTTTGGACTTAATGAAAAGAAAATAATCAAATGGCATTTAACATGAATATTTAAAAACTCCCCAAAAAATATTTTATTGACGGTTGTGTTTTTTAACATTTCTCATAACGCTTATTTGTGCAATTGTTAAAGTAAACTCTCCATAGGAGCTTTTTTGTTTTATTAAGTTTATCAGAATGAGAAATCCCATTAGCAGACTGCATCTTGTCAAAAGGTTTAGTAAAGATATGGAAAGGTTCTTGGCAATAACATGAATAATTTTCTTATTCTTTCATTTTACGTTGAGTTCAATTGCAAACTAATTTGTGTTTTATGTGCATCGTGGAAAGTAACCAGCAAGTCCAGGCCTTTTCCTAGCAAAAGTCTGACCAGCTAAAGTTCAAAACCAGTAACTGTTTCTGTGTAATTAAATATCTTGAAAAACATTTCTGACTATTAGTTGATGCAAAGGTTGTAAGAAAAGTGTTTAGTTCACAGTAATAAAGTCGATTTGAATGCAATCCCCCCCCACCACTGATTTTACAAATTAGTCTTTCTTTAAAAAAAAAATCCATTTCACCCTTAAGGTTATTAATTTGTGGTAAAAATGTATAAAGATGGCCTTATTGTTGTGCAACAGTGTGAAACGTTTAGTCGTGCACCGTGTGGACTCACAGGACCGGGGGGGAAACCAGAACAGTCTCTGGTTTGTTGTTGGAGGCTGATTTTGGTCAGAGATGGAGGTAAAATGAAGAACCACAGTCAGAAGCATGATGATGAGCTCATACCCAGTAGATCCACCACAGACACAACACACCCGCAAAGACGGCAACATCCGGAGGAACCAGACATGTGATGACTCTGTTTGAAGACAGATTCTGCTCGCGTGGTTGAAATTCATTTTATTTTAATTAAAATACGCGAGTCCTCTTTATCTCCCTGCTTTGCAGAGGAAGGATGTGTTTTATGGGAAGGGAGCAGCTGTTTGTCTTTAAATGGGTGTGTGTGCCCACATGGCAGACAAATGGCAGCCTTAGTGACAGGCCGAGTCAAGCCGACACCCTCGACGTCTCCGTCCAGCTGTCCTCTCTTCCTCTCCCCTCCTTCTTTACAGGCCTGCACCTAAAGTGACGCAGTCACAGAGAGGAAACCCACATACGTCCATAACCAAATGTGATGCCCAAAATAACGAATGGAAAGTTGTTTTCCTTCTTCCTTCTTTGCGTTCAGATCTCATATCGCACATGGGTCAGATCCAGGCTGTTTTATGAATTTATTAGATTTCTGTTTCATTTCCATAGGAGTTGGTTACTCTGTCTCTTCTGTGTTTTGAGGTAGATAAAAAAGAAATGCATCACGTCAGGTTGTTCTTGTGTTAAGGTCACATGGTGCTTTATTACCACTGCGTTTTTTTTTTTTTAGAGGGAGTATTTATTAAAAAACACTTTGTTTCTGTGAAGCCTGTGAGTTTTCAGCTTGTGTTGACCCTTTTCTGTCCACTTCTGGTATCATTTCTGCTTTGGAGGAGCAGATGTTGCTTCTTTTTCTTATGATGTTTTTTTTATGTATTATGAACAGTTACTAAATTAGTTGCTGATTATTTCAATAATTGATTTATGCAATTAATTGTTTCATCCCTAGTTTTGTACTTATCAGGTCTTTTTGTAAAAAGCCATACTGTGTGCGCTAGAGAAAGGAGTCAGTAGTTTTGTAGTTAAATAGGATTTCACTTTATATTATCATAACAAAGACAAAACCACAACAGCTTAAACATCTAACATTAGCACAATTGACAGAGTTGGCATTATTATTAACATTGTTTCTGTATTTTTGTGAGGAAGGGCAAAAATTGACCAATTATGATCACCAGTCAGTTTCTCAGAGTATCTCTATTTATTTGTTAAATGCTTTAATTTAAGGCTTTATTTCTTCAGGACACATTTGTGGTAAATTCAAACTGGCTGTTGTGACCTTTGTGTGTGTGTTTTTTTTTTTTTTTATTCTGCAGAAGAGCTACATCCACAACATGTAGGGTAATTAGATGGATTTAACCTCATTGTCTCGTGTGCAGAGCTCCCTTGTTAGTCTTTCTTTACATCATTAGCAATGCAGATCATCGCAGTTGATGAGATCTGTTGAAGAAAAATCTGCCTCTGAAGGCAAAAACTGAGCGCAGCCTCGAGGGAGAAAACGGCTCAACCTTTGGCGCTGACCGCTTTTGCTCATGTTTAACCATGGGTCCTCATTAAGTGTTTGAGTGGGCGCATTATTTGCATCGACAGGCGACCGATTTACCTGAGAGAGTTGAAGGAGGTCGTTAGCATTATGTGTAGGAAAGAGCTGTTTAATCAGTAGTTTCAATCCAAGAGTCAGCAAGAAGGTGCAGGCTTATTTAAAAAGATGCGTAGTAAGTTGTTTTTTTTTTGTTTTTGTTTTTTTAAAGGATTGTTTTAAATAAATGAATGTTATAAACAGTTATTGTACTGCAGAGGGTAGTACTTTAAGTTCTTGTTTTCTCCCCAACACTGCAGTTAAAGACGTGTTTGATTATTTTAGCTGTTTTCTGTGTGGAGAACAATCAGAGCTGTGAGCCCCCAGCAGAGCAGCATCCACACATCTGTCGGCGTGAATTATTTCCTCTTGCCCTGCTCTGTTTTTATAGCAGTAATTCAATTCCACTTCTTGTTTACAAAACTGCCCCCAGCTGCCGCAGACATCTGGCTGCCGCAGACTCGATCTCGGATCTTGCAGCTCCACTTTAACCCCGGTGACCGGACCTCACCCCACTTCCCAGGCCGGCCATAAAAACCTCATGTAGCTCGTAACCCGCCCGGCTCTTAGAAGCTTTTCTTGTCAGCAACTTGCTTTTTATTTGATCAGTGAAACAAGCAAGCACCTTGAATAGTTAGAAGGAGTAATTAATTTTGTATGATGTTTTTTTTTTCTCCCCCTGCAGGTTGCAGGAGAACAGAAGTATCACCCAGAATGCTTCAGCTGTCTGAACTGCAGGGCATTTATCGGTGATGGAGACACATATGCGCTGGTGGAGAGATCCAAACTTTACTGGTGAGCATCCACCACATCCTGCTGCATTTAAAACCTAAACCTTCAAGTGTCAAAATGCTTTTAAATCAGTTTGTTCGATGCAAATCAGAGGCCAAACAGGGTGAGCGTCGTAATTCTGTCTACGTTGCGTATATTTGCTCAAAGCCGCGTTAGCAGCAGGGATGTTTGAGTGTGACTGTCACAAGACGCCCTCCTTCAAGCAGATGATTGAAAATGAAGCTCCCAAAAGCTTCAGGCGCTCTCCAGTCTTTTCGGTCGTGCCGTTTCATCACGGCGGCATCTCGCCTCACAGGGAGACACTTTTACCTTGAGTCACAACCAAGAAAAGAAAAAAAAAAGTAATTCAGCAAGTAACGCAACAGCTGTGATCTCACCATTACTGAATCATCCTGAGATCAAATGAGGCCAATGGTTTTCTACCGGCATCCAGTTTCAACAGCCGCCTTGTTAAACGGGTTTTCTGCAATTTAAGTTGAAAATGAAATTACATACGGAGCAATGAATGTGGATCATAAATTACTCTGTAATCATAAATTAGGTTAAGAGGCAGAACTGATTCCCTCGGAGGTAAATTCCCAGCACATTTCTTACACACAAAACGTCTTGTTTGTTGGCTTTCGAAACCAAGTTGCTCACGTTGAAGGTCAGCCTCCACACAATGACTGCACAGTGAGCGCCATGTGCTGGAGCCGGATCTCATCATCAGCAACATGTGATGCTTAAAGCACAGATGCAACGAGAGGCTCGGCTTTCTCTCACGTGGTTCCTCGCACCCTGCAGAGCCGCTTTGCTCAAACCTTCGATCACATTGCCCCCCCCCGTCTCTCTCTCTCTCTCTTCTGACTGCAGCGGTCACTGTTACTACCAAACCATCGTGACGCCCGTGTCACTGCCAGACTCGCCGCACTCCCGGATCCCGCACACTGTCACGCTCGTGTCCATCCCCGCCTCAGGCGAGGGCAACAACGGATGCAGAGGGCGGGGCTTTTCTGTGGCGATTGACCAGCCGCTCAGCCCCACCAACGGCTTCAGCCCGGAGCACGGACGCACCGTCAGGGTGTCCCAGTGAGTGTCAACGGGTTTTATATTTCATTTATTTTTACTGTTTTCTTTACAGAAAGAATGAAAATTAAAATGTCAAATTTTAAAAAATCATCAGTTTCCGTACTTTCTACGGCGTTTTATTGTTAAAACCAAATATTTTAATGTACTTTATACGTGATAAACCAACATAATGTAGCATGTTGCTACACAGTGGAATGGAAACCGTGCATATTGTGTTTTAGACATTTTACTCAAGTACTCTTAAATACACAAAATCCAATCAAAAATCAGATAAATTTTAGAAAGACTTCACGTGTGTGAAGTTTAAAACACGCAAACACCCGTGAAAGTATCTGTTGGAGGATGACATCACCTGAACACGCAGTCAGAACTGCATCTGAAAGGTTTTGATGCAAACATGCTCATGGTAGAAAGTCCTAATTAAACACTGAAGAGTGCTGATGAGACGCTCTATATTTACGTCTCTACGAGTGCAAGTCTGGTAAAGAAAGCTCTAGAGTTCTGCATCTCTTAACTACAGAAAAACATTTTCCTTGTGCTTCTCACTTTGCTCCGTGTTGGCTCTATCCTTTTGTTTAAATGTGCTTATTGTTTTGTTTTCTCGCGTTAACTTCAGAGTGGATCCTGACTGCATCAGCCCAGACGTAAAAAACTCCATCCATGTTGGGGACAAGATCCTGGAAATCAATGGGACGCCCATTCACAACGTTCCCCTGGATGAGGTAGAGGCCACCTTCAGGATCTTCCCTCTGACATGCTGCAGCTGTTTCAGTGAAAACAGAGCCGAGTTACACTTTCTAGTGTTCCCCTGGTCCGCTCTGAAGTTTGGTCTTCATGTGAACCCGCTCTTCTTCTCTAGATCGACCTGCTCATCCAGGAGACCAGCCGGCTGCTGCAGCTCACCATCGAACATGACCCGCACGCTCAGGAGGGGGGCTCCTCGGAGGCCGAGGATCAGGTGGACGGCTGCCTGTCCACCCCGGTGTCGGACGGCCCCAGCCCCACCCTGCCGATCACCCAGGCCCCCAACCCTGACATCAGCAACCTGAAATCACGCATAATCACGTAAGAATAGCTGTTTTTTTTTTTTAAATAAGTACAAATTATGCAGCTGCAGTGTGGACTGCAGTCAGATTGTCTTTAACTCTTGTCCCTCTCAGGCGGAGCTGCAGCATTGATAAGTCACCGGGCTCCAGCAACGCAGCATCGCCCGTCTCACACAGGAAGGACATCAATCGGTCGGAGTCACTCCGGGTCGTCTCCAATCGGACTCACCGCATCTTCCGCCCTTCTGACCTCATCCACGGAGAAGTCCTCGGGAAGGGATGCTTCGGTCAAGCCATAAAGGTAACCCTGCTCATATGTGGTCATACCTAGAGCCCCCAGGAAGGGGCAGCATTGAGAGAAGCTGGACAGAATCTCAAAGCAGGAAGGAAAGACGTTGGTTTTAACACTTCGTGGACATTTTTTCAGTTCTCATGTCGTCATACAGATGAACGAACTCTTTACGGTTGATTCTCTCCCTTCCTGTCGCTCATCTCTTCCTGTACGTTTCTGTGTCACGTTGCAGGTGACCCACAAGGAAACGGGGGAGGTGATGGTGATGAAGGAGCTGATTCGTTTTGACGACGAAACACAGAGAACGTTCCTGAAAGAGGTGAGCGCAGAGCTTGCAGGCAGCTTAGAGGTTTAATGTAGACGTTTCAGTATGTTCACAATTAGTTTGAGCACAACTTTTACAGCAACAGATTGGTGCTGGTCAGAAGCAGCAACAAGGTGCGATTTCAGGGAATAAGCGACGCCTTGCATAACCTCTGGTAAAGTTTAAGAGGGGGGAGTGCTGGCGTTCTCTTCTCCCACAAATGACGAATCTTTTCTCTCCCACACTAAACCTTAAAGCCTCCCTAGAATCTTAATTCATGTTTAGTTATAACACAGAACAAACATTTCATAAAACTAATGTGCTGTCTTTACTAAAATTACAATTAAATGCCCTTTAATATGGCCAACAAAAAGAATGTTATTCCTCTTGAGTCGTCTGATTGGAAATTAAAAACATCTACCCCACAATGTTTCAAATTTAATTTGTAAAATATTTTTTCCTTTGAAAACCACGCCTCATTTCTCTTCCACTATTATGGGTTTCTCACATAAATTGTGAGTTAACATGACAAAATAGAAAAAGTTTAAACAGTATGGACACTTCATTCTGTCTGTGTCCGTTATGTTTATTTAAATATCAAACAGACATCCAAGACCTCAGGATACAATCTGAGTTTATCCTTCTGCTTAGTGTTTCATCCTCACTATTGAAGCCTCAAGCACCTGTTTACCAGTGTGTCTGTGTATTTATGTGTGTGGTCGCAGCTTTTAGTAAGCGCTTGCTTTGTAATTTCCCTTCCAAGTCTCACATTACCGGGTCTCTTTTAATCTTGCTTGCAACAGGAAGACAAATGCTTGGTGTAATTGTAGCCCTAGCCTCTCAAGCAGTAACAGTGTCCAGTCTGGGCAGTCTGCGGTTGTGGCACCATTTGTAGCATCCTAATCAGTTTATAGCTACATTGAATGTGATTAAATGAACAAAAATGTTTCCTGTACTCAAATCTTAGCTTGCCTTTTGCTTTGGATGTTTACCATCCCGCACAATGTTACACAAAATGATTCAGGCCGACATTACTGTTGACTTTTGACCTTTTTTTTTTTGCTCCATAACTGAAGTGACTGTTAATCCGTCCTCAGGTGAAGGTGATGCGCTGCCTGGATCACCCCAACGTGCTCAAGTTCATCGGAGTCCTGTACAAAGACAAGAGACTCAACTTCATCGCAGAGTACATAAAGGGAGGAACCCTGAGGGAAATAATCAAGAAGATGGTAAGAATGACATGGGATGGTGTGTGAGTTGTAATGAAATTATCTGGTTTTCTCACCCTTAACAGTTTTGTTTGCTGAAACCTTAAAATTTAAGTGCGATTTCTATTTGCAGGACAGTAACTTTCCCTGGAACCAGAGGGTCAGTTTTGCGAAGGACATTGCTGCTGGAATGGTGAGTTCAGAAACTGAGACGTCAATCTGAGTCCAACAGCAGCAGCAGCACAGGGTGCAATTACCGCTGCTGCCTCCCTCTAGTGGTCAACTTAGAGCAATACAAGCCTTGTGCAAATCGTTCCGGTACCTCTCAGTAAAAGTGTTCAGTTTTGTTTTTCTTACAATGAGTTCAACTTAATTTTTCTTTTTTGCTTTGAGGCAGCTTTTGATTACTCCGTTTAATTAATTAATTTTATTTTCCCTCTCCCCTGTTTTATCTGCCTTTTAGGCATATTTGCATTCAATGAACATAATCCACCGGGACCTGAACTCACACAACTGTCTAGTCCGAGAGGTAAGGAACGTTTACTCCACTCTAACATGTCTGTGCTTACACACCGTTATTGTTTAAGTGTGTTAATATTTTGTGCACTCATCTTTTTCCATGCTGAAAAACAATTTAAAATGTACAGATTCATTTTGCTTGACCTAACAGAAGAAAACATTATACATAAAACAAAATGCATCTCTGAAAATCTGGAGTTTAAAAAAAAAAATCCCAAACACTTTGCTAAAGCACAATATTTTTAAGCTTATATCTTGACCGTCACACTTACTAATAGCACTTCTTGGAATATCTGCTCGTTTAGGACCACACCGTGGTGGTGGCAGACTTCGGCCTGGCTCGGCTCATGGTGGACGATAAATGTGAAAATAAGCTGACGCAGGGAAAACTGCCGGGCCTGAAGAAGCCCGACCGCAGGAAGAGGTACACGGTGGTGGGAAATCCCTACTGGATGGCTCCGGAGATGATCCACGGTATGATGTACAGCAGAACATGTGGCAATCTGAATAATCCTGACTTTCTCTGTGCCCTTTTCCTGCTGATCTATGCTAGTAATTTATATACTAACATTATTTTATGTCTTGTTTAGGCAAAAGCTACGATGAGAGAGTGGACATCTTTTCCTTTGGTATTATGCTATGTGAGGTAAGTAGCTGTTTAGCCAGCATAAAGTATCTAATCATTTAAGCGTAAATACGTTTATCTGCATGTTTGGGATAAACAATCTTTCTCTGCCAACCAAAAGATGCATCAGTTTATAAAAGATAATCACCTCGTCCAACATTTAGGATCAGAATGCGACATCCTTGCAATGAACCCGACTTTTAAGGCAGATTTACCAAAGTGTCTCAAACTGAGGCTTTAAAGCAGACAGGGGAACCACCCAGCTGATAAAAGGAGATGTGATTGATGCTTTTTAATATCCTATCCAGTGGCTGGCAGCTCTGACCGAGTGCTGCTGTGTTTGGCTGACTTTTTCCAGACCCTATAAAAATAAAAAGTTATTTTGCCTGCGAACATGCACCTACCAGAAGCTGTGGTCCACCACTGCCGTAGGACGACTGCAAACCGTTCCGTCCTTCTGCACAGGAAGGAAGGGTTGTCCGTGGATGCAGTAATTAGAGGCGGTACCGAGTGCACCCAGGGTAACCACGCTGCCCTGGTAGAGGGCCTCATTTAGTCGGTGTCCGGCAGTAGAGTTTGCTAAATGTGAGGTCTAGCAGAAAGTTTGATTCATCATTTTTTTCCTTTTTTTTTTGTGTGTCTATTCTGCTTGAAAATCTGCCATTTTGGCAACTTCTGAAGGATTTTGTCCACATTTCAAACTCATTAAATGCAATTTCCATTTCATTTTATGAGGGAATAGTTTCACTCTGCCAAATTTCGACGTCTCTAAAAGCAGAATACATTTTTTCCAGCAGCCCTGCTGAGTTGTTGGACGGGAGCCTGGACACACATCATCCTCCTGCTCCTATGATTTGGGCTCATGGGTTTAGTTAAGTCAGTCAGAGGCCCCAGACTACGACTTCTCCAGATGGACGGCATTTTTCAGCGACTGTGTGAGGGATTAGTGAGCCGTAGAGCAAAGCCGTCCTCGTGTGGCGATTGACGGACAGATTGTTGTGGTTTGGCGGGAGCAGTCTGCTTTAGCTGGGAAGGATTTACTGGTTTCCAGTAGAAACTCTTCAGACACCTCCATCTTCAAATCTTCTCACTCGTGTTTTTAACCTTTTCCCTGTTTTGCCCTCTGCAGATCATTGGTCGGGTCAACGCAGATCCAGATTACCTCCCCAGAGCGATGGACTTTGGGCTGAACATTTCTGGCTTCCTGGAGAACTACTATCCTCCCAAATGTCCCCCTGCCTTCTTTCCTATTGCTGCTTTGTGCTGTGACCTCGATGCAGACAAAAGGTCAGAAATCTTCCAAAAAATGTGCACTGAAATCAGACTTAAAATATTTAATTACCTGGGTTTTTGTCTTTTTGGAAAAGTTTTTGTCCTGTTTTTACAACCTTTTCAAATTTGTCGCTAGAGGTTAAATTGATTTTATTGTCCAAAAGCAATAGATACACAAAAATTCCAAATTGGATATCCAAGAACTAACAAGGTTATAGCTTTATGAACTCAGCTTTAATTCATAAATTGAAGATTTGTATGGTGATTTGTCCAATGAAGAGGAGAAAGTTAAAAGAAATGTAGCTGAACACAGTAAGTTTAAGATCCGTCCATACCTGCAATTTGCCACAAATGAGAATATGAAGATGTATTTAAAGTAACTGTATATTTTAAGTTTTCATTTTTGACCATCATTGTTACTCTGATACTCACCAGCAACGGCGACTTCCTCATCTCCCAGTGATTATAGTCTAAGATTATTCAAAACAAAGTGAATGGAAGCAGCTGAAAATCTCATCTTCTTGGTCTAAATGTTCCTTTTTGCTCGCAAATCTGCTCTTTTGACTTTTTAAGTTATGTATCTGTTAAATACAATATTTGCTTTTAAGTGACAACATCTACAGCAACACTGAACTCTGATTTCTAAAAGTATTTAGATGGAGGAATAAAAACTTCTGGGTCAGAAAAGGCTTTTGATGATAAATCCAAAGGTAATTTTTCCTCATGCCCTTTGAACTTTACAGACCTGCATTCTCTAAACTGGAGGAGTGGCTGGAGAACCTCAAGATGCACTTGGACATTGGTCTGCCGCTGATGTCCGAACTGGACCAGTTGCACAAGGCCTTCTGGGAGCACCACAGCATCCCGCGTCCTGAGAACGGCCTGCACACTCATCCGGAGCAACCCGAGTGAAGTGCCGCGAGAGGAGTGGCAACGCTGGAGTTGACCCCTCAGGAGACGGTGACCCCACCCGCCTCGGGTGGCAGAACGCTGCTGGAGGAGACTTTCTAATGACCCGTCACGACTGAAGCAGACGACACTGGTTTTAGCTGGCACAGGCCAGATGAAAAGACTCAGGGGGAAAATATGAATTTGAAAAGCCACCAGTGTGTGATGCCTGCACACACACACATACACGCATACACACACACACATTCTCACTGCAGCTGCTTCTGAAGCTAAAGTAAACTATATCATATGCAATCAGAAACAAATTTCACGTAACGCTTTAATCGCATACATTTAGCAGAAGTGGTCCCACTAGAGAATACTTACTGTGCTTTTTACTGTAGTGTGTAACTTTACATTCAAAACATAGCAGCAAGCCTTCAGCCGCGTCACTTCACGTCTCCAGACCGCATGGTGCAGTTTGTGTCTGCAGACATTTGCTGCGTTTGGTTTTCTTTTGGATCTCAGAACAGAACGTACTAGAGATGCAAGCAAAATGCAACGGACTCCCAGCGTCTGAGGGACAGTTTGTAGACCTTCTTGTGCAAGTGAAGTGAAACTTTTCAAGCTTTAAGTATCCAATTGACAAATGCATGGATGTAAATAACGCTGCCAGGTCAATTCCCGCTTCAGTGTGCCCCTCTGACCCCATTCAGTCATGAACCGCTTGGAGTTGCTCGTCTCTCCTGTTTATACTGTAGCACTGAATTTATGGTAAGGTACACGTCCTACATTTGGTACGTCTCCTCTCCGTTTAGAGTTCATAGCGCATCCCATTCATACTAACACTCAAATACATTATGTGTACATAAGTGGCAACTTTGTAAATTTTTTAAATATTGTAAATGTACAGACATATTTTATATAAGTACGTTACATCGCCATATTTTTATTGGCTGACTGGCTAAAAGGAGACCGGAGGTGTCACTGCAGTTGAAACGGCATGGCAATTTTTTTTTTTTTTTTTTTTAATTTGCGTGTTGTCACTGAGTCAGGGTAAATGCTTCGAGACCATCTTCAAACACCTAAAAACCTCTGCCAAAAATCATTTTAAAACGACAACAAACAACCTGAGAATGCATACAGTTCTGATAAATGTATGCATTCACTTTTCAACCCTTCTGCAGTTAAATCAAACATTGCAGCTACAGTGCCTCGATGAGTATTTATACCATAAACTTTTTCACAATTTGTCGCTTTAGTTCGGAAGGATTTACTGGTTTCCAGTAGAAAGGCTTCAGAACCATAAATTTTAATGTATTTTATTGGGATTTTAAGTTGATGGACTAATTGGACAACAGTTTTTACCAACTTTGCGCATTTACCGACTGAGATCTTTACCCATTTTTCTTTGCACAATAGCTCAAAATCAGCCAGATTAAAAACCAAGTACATGGTATTCAATTCATTTCAAAATGCTTTAAGAATCCCAGAGACAAAAAAAAATTCAATAGATGTAAATTTTATAGCTATCATCAATTTTCTCAATTGGATTTAGGTCTGGACTTTGACTTGTAACACATGATGAAGCTGCAGCTTTGACTTTACGTGTAAGGAACTTGTGCTGCTGAAATCCTCCACTTTTTATTAACCTCTCCCAAAAAAGTCCCAATTTAAGACATTGAAGTTTCTGTTTGTATTCTGACAAAGTATGAAAAAAAAACTTAAGGGGTGTAAATACGTTTGGAAGGCACTGTACATTTTCTGATCATCTCTCTTCCCCACACTGGAAAAACGGCTAATAATCCATGCTCTCATTTCTGATGTACTGTATCATAGTGAAGGTGTTGCATCACCAGGTACTGCCTCATCTGTCTGTCCATGTTCCCATCTGTCCTCCTGAGGATCAACCCCTCTGTCTGTTTACATATAAGATGTGCTGTAAATATCTCTGTGTATATATACGCGTCTCTCTCCTCAGAAATAATCTCCAGCACTGTCAGATTTCTGCGGCACCTTCTAACAAACCGTCTCTCTGTCTTTATTCTGCGAATCTTTTAGTTTCTTTTAAATTTGCTGCATGATGTAGTGGCCAGGTCTTCTCTGCTTTTACTCCAAGCTACTTTAGTCTATAAGCATTGTGGGGGTTTTTTTATAATAAATAAAATACACATTTGGAGTAAAAGATTTAAAAACAAAGTCAGGCAAGAAAAGCAGGGCTGAGTAGAAAATGTAAAAAAAAAAAATCTGTTTTTCTATATCTACCCTCTGAAACTCTTTTGTACACATTTGAGTACTTTTGTTTGCACTAAATGGCCGATCTGGGCCGCGACTTCTTATTTCTTTTTTCTCTTGGGCTACTTGTGATGAGGAAAATGATCAATGTCAGTTCAGGTTGATATTTGAATGCAAGCCACTGACGGAGCCTTTCAACTGTTAAAAAAAAAGGGATCTGGTAAGTTCAGCCTCTCAGTAGCAAATTGGACTTATTTAATTATTTAGATGCAGCTCAAATTGAATTAAAATCACGTATGCCATGCAATATAGTCCTAGGCGCAGAAAGAGCTAGCTGGGTTGCATTTCAGTGATGAAATGCTGGTGTTTTTGCTACTGTGAGGTTGTGATGACCCAGTTCTGCCTGCTGCCTACAGACCGGTCCTTTGTGAGTGGTGTTCTGTGCCGTTTCTGACTGCTTGCGATGCCCACGGAGGCTGCAATCACTCGTTCTGATAGCTGAGCGCTTAAACCTCACCTCTTCCTCACCTTAAATCTTTTTGGCTCAGGGCCGTAATTTTTTTCTGGAGCTTTTTCCTCAGAGCTTAACAAGTACCCACCGGTAACAAGCGAGACTGTGAGGAGCATGTAAACGCCTGTCACTCTGTAGGGGTGGAGGGGGGGGGGAGGGAGCTCTCCCCCATTTCTCACATGCATGCACACACAAACGTGGCGCAGTGTTTCCTTCACCGCTCCTGTCTGAGCCATGTCGAGCATGTTAGATGTCAGTGAGGACGTGTTGATCGCCGAGAATGTCGCCGCAGCACTTCTTCGCAAAGGATCGTTACCTCTGAACAATGCTGTGCCTTTGTTGTAAGCTAGCCTTGCCAACGACTCGAAAACATGAACTGATTTCCTGTTTGGTTCTTATTTTAATGCATCATCGGTGCAAGCCTGATTCAAGCGAACTGAACATCTGAGTTGACACCATGACATGTAAGATTTCATCTTGTTCTGTATCATATTTATATTTTCTGGATCTCCATTGTCAGTTTTGATACTTTAATATTATATTCTTTTTTTTTTTTTTTTTTTTTTTATTTTTTTTTTTTTTACACAAGCTGTGAAAAATGATTCTGCACTTTAATCCTGAACATTTGGACTCTGAGGAGGTTACTGTGGGGTTTTTTTTTTCTTTATTTTTTTGTCACAGCTGAAAATAAAATGATGCTTCTTAAACAAATTCAGACGTTTCATGTCTTTTCTTTTGCTTTAAAACAAAAAGACATTATGTGAAAGTTATATCTATCTACAAAATGTGCAGCTACATCATAAAAATACTCATTCACCTGGCAGATTTGGGTTTAAAGTCTTTTTTATTATGTCACCAGCTTGTTTCTTCCTGCTGAAAGTACTATTGAAATTTTTGAAGTGGCCAAGATGGAATAATAAGAAGAATGATTTGTAGTGCCAATGAAAATACTTCAATTGATTAAGAAGATTATGTTTCTTTTACATTCGTTTGCATTTCCTATCAGACCCAAACTACTTGACTGACTGAAAATCCTGGCAGCAAAAGAAGCCACACTAGAACGAACAATACAGCTGGGATCCTGTGGGATTTCCAGATCCAGACCAATAACAAGGTGATGGTTAACCAAACTGGGCATTGTGGTGGTGGCGGACAAAGCAGAAAAGGGTGCTGTAGCGATGCAGCAGTCCCTAGTGATGGCAGCGTCAAGAACACAGGAAGCCTGAGAAACACCAGGGGCTAAAAGAGGAAATGGAGACGCTGTGGAGAATCCTCGGTGAGACCTCAGTGGTTCCAGTGGTTGTGGTGCACATGGAGCTGAAACTCCCAAACTGGAGCAGTCAGTGGCTGCAGCAGACTCCAGGGAACGACCTCTGTCCAGAAAAGGGCAGTCACAGGAACAGATGAAATATTTCAAGGAATCCTCAACCTGGCAGCTGCCTGGTAGAAAACCTGAACTCGAAGCAGAACTTCCTGAGCGGATAATCGATCCAGAGTGATAAACGCAGTGTTTGTGTTATTCCTGCTCTAGAAAACAGGTGGGCGTGTTGTGAAGCTGACCAGCAGATGTCAGTCTCCACTGTTATTTTTCAACTGAAACGTTCATATTAGCTTTGACGTTTTTTAACTCATCTTCTCAAGAGCCAGTGTCCTCCTGCATGTGTCAAAGAAAAATCTTTCAGGATATCTGAAATGTTCCTTTGGACTGGAAAAAAAAAATCCATTGCTAATTTTTTATATCTGATTGACACCTGGACAGATCATTAGATAGAAATCATTTACACATATCTGCAAATTCAAATTTTTTAATATTATAACGTGCAGATATTTATACATATGACAGTTGAAAGAAACTATAATTGATCAATAAAAATACTTTAATAATGAATAAGTAATGTCAATGTTTACATAATGGTGTGAATAATTCGATACAATTCCGATAAATAAAGAAAACATTTTAATTTTTTTATTGAATGATTTTATATTTCGTGTGCAACACTCAATCATAAAGTAATTTAAACAGACACTATGACTCAGCTGCACCACAGTTGAACTGCAGACCAACCAACCAACCTGTAAAATGTCAGCCTTGTTAATTGACCTTGATGAGTAAAGCAAATAACATAAAATCTTAATGCAATACAACACAAGACTTTGAAATAAACACATGCTACAATGCTACTTTAAATTTGTAGTTTACATTTCCATTTCGAAATGTTGAGACCTGAAAAATATGAACGTGGTTTTCTGACTTCAGCACAGGTGTTGTTCGTTTAAATGTTATAACGGACTGCCATACATGATTACACACTACTACAGTATTCATATCTGGGTTCTGGTGGTCCAGTTTCTCCCCAGCTTTCAGGGCACACATACACGTGATCATGCTCCCATCTCGTCCACGTGCGATTGTTTTCATTCCGACGCTGCCGCTGCAGAGGCTGGTGCGTCATGACGTCACGGAGCCAGCGGGCAGCAGGCAGGCAGCTCATCAGTTTGAACCGCGGCGTCGAGGAGCGTGTGAGTAGTCAGTCCTCCTGCAGCTGCTCCCACACAAACACCGACCGTGACAGACCGCCCCGGACCGGAGGACCGCTCTGCCCACGACGACACACCGGCTGGCGCTTCTCCATCTCTCCGTGCTGGAAAAATTACCGAAGACGGTCAGAGCCGCGGGTGCTGCTTGAAAACTTTCAGATGGAAAATTTGTGCGGTAACAACCGGTTTCGGTCCGGAATGTTCAACAACCACGGTGAGTGTGTTCACTACTGACTGACCGATGTAGGTTATTGTGTTGCTGTTGTCGAAATTTGACCCACTACGATGCCCGCTTTGGGATAACTTGTGTAATTTTATCCGTGAAGAAGACGCACAGCAAACCGTGTCCAGTTAGCGGGTCTTATGGCTGCATGTCACCGCTTTTATCCGGGTTTAAAGCCGAAGATTAGACGCAGATTTATTTATTTTTTTCACGGTGATGTGTGCTGACAGCACAGCGGGCGCACTTGGTCCCGTTAAGTGAAAATCCTTAAAAAACCTGGCAGCTGGAGCTGCAGCGGGACGCAGGAGCAGCACACTGCAGTTCTGCAGCTCTGCATGAGCGGTACCAAAGAGCCAACTCAACTAAACCACTTCTGAATTACAGTACATTTAGTTTCCTGCTCCGAGAGTGGTCTGGTGTTTCCTTACGGTTTTTTAAAATCCTTTTTGTTTGTTTTTGTGTTGTTTTTAACACAGTTCAACTCTAATATTACAACGTATTTTACCTCTTAAAATACATTTTATAGAAACCAAGACAGTAATCTGCAAACATTTCCTTCGTGTTTTTGACTCTTTTTGTCACATTTGAAGATTATCAAACCAGAAAACTTAAATATAAGTTTTCAAATTATTTAATTCCTCAAGGAGGAAGAAAAACAAACAATCTTAGCTTTATGTGAAAACTCAAATGCTCCCTGAACCTGATAAATATTCCTGCCACTGTAGGTAGCATTTGTGATGTCTGTGTGTTTACATCACTTTGGTCGGTTGACCTTGTTTCAGTCACTTTGGAGGATTTTTGAGTATTAACGACCTGTTTAAGATTTCTCCACAGCATTTTTATCATTTTTTTTGTCTCTCTTTTTGAGCAGTTCAGAGCTGAGCTTGCAGATGTGCTAAACATTGTTGCCTTAACCCACGTGAACTTGAGGCTAAGGTCACAAATTCATGGCCAGACATTCTTCTTTGGGCAACGGATAGAAGATATAATCTTCTAAATAAGTTCAAGTTTTATATCGTTGCTGCCCAGAATATCATTAAGCTATTTTGGGAAATATAATGTATTTCTTTGTCGGTGTTTTAGGTCCGAAGTTTGTTTATTTTTAACACTTAATTAGTAATTTCCATGTTATTTCCCACTGCATAATAGAAAGTTTAGACAATATTACTCATCTCATATATCCCTGATTTTTGGAATAAGCAGCAAATATGACAAATTTCTAAATATTTACCTTATTTTATGAACATACATTACTTTACATGCAGCTTTGTTTTCTTTTAGGTAACACTTATTAAGCCACCATCAACTACTGACTAAAAATTAAACTGTAAAATTAATTGCAATGACTGGATAAGAGATAATCGTCAGCTTCATGGTTGCGACACTCCCAGTGAAAACTATTTCTGGTGACTTGAGTTTGGGCCAGTCAGCTGGGCTGAATCTGAAGGCGTCAGACACACCAAACTCGAGCTGAATTATTTTTTATGGCCGGCCGAGTTTCAACCTTTATGGGGCCAAACCACCTTGGATGCATAAATTATTTTTATGAACCACGGATGTCTTGTGGGAGACGGGTGGTGTCATGGAGGTGAAGATGACAGACCATGATTTTAGACCAAATTGTATTTTGTGGCTTTCAGAGGCTTACGATGATTATGATTCATTTTTCTCTGGAAAAACTGTGGGAATGTGTCATTAATGGCAGTAAGAGAGTAAATGGTTTTCAAAAGTGGTAGCAAAAACATAAATGTTTTACTTTAAAATGAAAATGGTAGTTTTACCATTTACATTTCAAATGTGTTTAATAGATTGAGAAAAATCATTGCACATGCTGAAATGAACTACTCCCCTCTTCTTTCCACATTTGTGTCTACATTAAGTGGATGCTGGTTTGTTTCTCCTAAAAATCATCCAGACTGTTGCAAAAGGACATTGCTAGACCTTTTGTTATGTTCTCAGATGGGAAAACCTTTCATTCATCGCTTTAATCATTCCAACAAATGCATCTTTCTATATTTTCTCATAACTTTAAAATTGTTATGGCTGAATTTGTTGAACATTTATTGACTTTAAAACAAATGTGAAAGCGCTCTTTTAAAGTCTTACTCTCAGAAGTTATGTTAACATGCCCCGGTGTTCCCCTTTAACACTTCTCAGTATATATTTTTTTCTGGAGCTGCATCAGCTTTTGCAGCCTGGTGAGAAAATGTTAGTTTTTCCATGTCTGGTTGCCGTATTACACCTGTTCACGTTACTGGGAGGTTTAGATGTTATTTGTGATACTTGAGTTGTTCCCTCATTAGTCACTGAGTTTACCACTCGGTGATGTGTAAACATAAAATGTTACTTATTTACTCCAAACGTAGAAGTGTTTGTGTTCTTTGAACTGAAAAGTGTGGTGTGCCTATGTTGCAACCCCTTTTACTCTGATGATGCCAAATAAAACCCAGTGCGTTAATTGCCTTCATAAGTTGCCTCCAACTGTGTGTTTTAATCCCAGTATAACTCCTTGCTCTTCTGTGACGGCCTTAGAGGTTTGTTAGATAACTAATCAATCTATCTCGCATACAAAAATTGAAAAATGATGGCAAAACTATCAGTCATTTCCTCCTCAAGCAGTGACAGGGAAACAGTCATTAGTTGATGATGAGTTGAGCTAATTACAGGAAAATCCTGTTAGTAAACCAGTTAGGCCCACAAGACTAGACGGGAGACTAAGATGCTCCTTCCGGTACAAACTCACAGCCAGACAATGTTATGATTCATATAAAAGTGTTTAATATGTTAGAGTGGCCCAGTCAAAGTTCAGTCCCTACATCTTACTCAGCATCTGTGATGAGACTTGAACGGTTCAACAATGTTCTCCATCCAATCCGACGTTGCGTTCCAGTCGGTTCTGTTTGGTTGTTGTGTGTTTACGCATATCAGTGATGTACTACGCCTTTAAACT